CCAGCCGTAGGCACGAGCCGGGCAGAGCCTCACACCAAACACCCCACAGAGGAGACGACAAAACGGCCAGCCGTAGGCACGAGCCGGGCAGAGCCTCGCACCAAACACCTCACAGAGGACGGAGACGACAAAACAACCAGCCGTAGGCACGAGCCGGGCAGTCATGCGGCGGGCCGGCTGGCCGCTCAGTGGCCTAGCCACTGCACGCAAATCAGCGGAAAAACTGCCCCTGCGCTATCGTTTTCCACGTCTTTCGCCGTTCTTTCTCAGTCTTTCAGAGAAGACGCGCACGCCCTTGGGGAAGTTTGCTTGTTGGGGTGTCTAGGTGCTACCGACTCACGCGCGCCGCCGCTGTGTTCTGTTTTTGTTGAGTTATCTGAGAGAGGAGACTGGCGGCCTGTGCCTCTTGCGTGTCAGGTTTTGCGCCTTGCTTGCGCCTCTGAGAGACTTGGAGCGTAAAGCTGGGCCATGGCGTGAAAATGTGCATTGGGTCTTTAGTTTTTGACGTTTCGAGAGGTAGACGTGAAAGTATGTTAACTCCTAACTTTTTTAGTCGTAGCTTCTAGTAAGTAATTCTCAAGGAAGATGGGCGACGGTCTTCGGCAGTCGCGGCCGCAGTTGCTTTTCTGTGGTTGTGACATTCCTGTTCCGATGTTGCGGGAGATAATTCTCTCGCCACGGATCTCAGTGCGCAACGCGGGACTGATGGTGCGTGGCCAAATGAAGATGCAGCTGTATCACTTGCGTGGAGGAGTCTGGCCAAAAGATGACGACCCGATGCTGCGGCACTTGAAACACATCGGTGACTCCGTGGAGGCTAGTCGGGTTCTCTATGTGGAACTACTCCGAGAGCATGAGGCGAAGGTGTTGCTTACGTCGTTGGTGAACTGGGGCCCGACGAGCGAGAGCGCGTATTTCAGCTGTATCGAGTTTGACGGCACGCCACTGTATACCTTAGATGAGCTCAGCGGGATCCCAGCTGCGTGTGAGACGCAGCTAATAGTTCGATCAGTGGGCATGTACCACTTTGGCGACTTGAACCGCATATACACAGTGCAGCCCTTGACGAAAATGGTGTACGGCCACTCTGCTCCGGAAGTCCAGCATACCATTCGAAAGAGCTGCCCGATGCTGCGGGACATTCTAACGGAAGCAGGAGTTCCGGTCTCCACGCGGTTTCTCTTGAATGTGTACCATGGTGACGGTGCTTCTCTGTCTGTGCTAGAGAATGAAGTTCCAGCGCAGCATGTAGCACAGCGTGGGACGCATCTGCCTGACAAGTTATCGGAGCTTCTTGACCTTTTTGTTTGCGGGTCGTGTTCGATGCATGACTTTCACAAGGCGCTCGAGCATGGTGCTGCTGTGGTTCTAAAAACAGAGGACGAGGCGAAGGCGATGTCTGCAATCGCGCGCTCGTTGCGCTCTTCGGGGAAATGCGTCCACATGTACTTGGAGGACTGGACTCGCGCGTCATACGTCTGCGCCCCGTTGTCTTCGCATGAAGAAGTTGCTGAATATGAAAATCTAGTAGATCATCTTGCGGACGGCCTCCCGAAGAAGGAGGTGAATATCTTGAAGAAGTTCCAGCTGAGATACAGAGGCGGCCTTCTCTTGGGTTCGGTGCATGCTGGCCGAGTGCTTGAAGTGTACAATCTCCTCTCGGAAATAAATAGACCTCTGGACTTTTCATTCGGGCGCTTCGGGGAGATAGTTGAGCCGTGCTGCAGGATCGGGCTTCTGAGTCTTGTTGGAGTTATTCCTGGCGCAGCAGCTTATGCACTCGAAGTCTCTCCGCAGAAGTGGTACCTCAAGTCCGCGCTGCGTAGCACGCGCATGTCTATTGAGGACTTCGTCGGCCGTTGCTGGGTCCTTGCGCTCGGGTTGAAACACCTACAAGACGTTGGTAGAATCATCCTGGAGCAGCCGACCATAGTCGCGCTTCAGCGAGTCCGCGAGGAGCTTCCGGATTCAGTTGCACGTTCTAGAGGCTTGAACCTGAAAGCCATAAGAGCGCTGTCGCCTGTCCTTGATCTCCACCTTTCTCAGCAGAGCTCGCTCGTTTTGGAGATCGCTAACGCGTCTCTGTATGCCAAGTGCTTTCCAAAGCTGGACGCTTTGCCGTGGAGAGCCATCAGGCACTGCAGCACCGCCCCTGAACTACTTCGTTTTCTGGAAACCTCGGCAGACCTCAAGACAGACCCGGGCTTCTCGTGCAAAATAGTAGAAGTCAGCAAGCGCTTCCCCGAGGTCTTTGCACTGAATAGTGGTTGCCTCAACAACGTCATACACCTGCTGCGTAAGGTGTCGGCGGGTATCATATATGCTGAACGCTTACACAAGCAGGCTGCTGACGAAGCTAGAAAAGCACGCCTGAGCATGATGCGGCTGGATATCTCTACGCACCTCAAGCTCTACCAGTTGTACAACAAGATGGGTGAGACACAGCGCCAAACGAAGCTGCAGCTAGAAGCGGAGTACTATCGTCAGCACGGCCTCCCAAAGCTAGAAGAGATCGATGAGGAAGCTCGCCAGAGCTCGCGGAACGTTCGATGGAACTCGTTGCTGGTCGGCACCAAGACCCGGGGGGAGCGTTGTGGATATGATGCCCAACAGTCCAAGGTGAAGGACATAATGCAGGTTGATGCGCTTGCGTTGTCGGCGGCGGAGAAGGACAAGCTGGAAACTGAAGTCGCCCAGCGGCGGGAGGAGGTTCGCTTGCGGCGGCATGCTTATTATGACCGCATTCGGACGGAGATCAGTCGCCGCGAGTGCGCCTCTCTACAACGAAAAACAACATTGGGAATGTGTTCTAGTTTCAACATCGACAACCTGCTGCAGGATGAAGATGTGCAGAGGTTCTTCATGACGAGGACCCGCTCTGGAATGGAGGCATGTGCTCAGCTGCGGAGCAAGCAGGACCCGAGCTTCGACCTTCCCGATCGGGTTGCGACTATACCGCTGCCTCCAGCAAGCTCTCTCCCAAAGACTGTGGACGCTCCTATTGCGGAACTAGTACGAAGGGCGCAAAGCAAAGGGAAGTCGAGCGTTCTCGGTGGGCTTCTAGTACATCTCCCGCTCGATGGTCTGGATGGGTATCCGGTTGCTGTGCGGCTCGTGTCTTTCGTCAGCATCCAGCCGTACCGGGTCTTCGGCACGCGCTTAGTACCTTTGGATCCATTCTCTTCTGATGGTGTCCGATTGATCCACACAAACGAGCAGCCAGTGGAGCTCGCAGCAGTGTCGGCGGGTGATGTCTTCTTCATTGAGCCACAGCATGTTCTTGGCGAAGGGATGACGCGCACTTCGTCACAGAGCATTTTTCACATGTGTCTGCGTGGTGCTGACTCGGTCGCAATCAACATCACACAAGCAAAGACACGAGTTCAGCGCAAAGCTACCAATGCCGTGGAGCCGCGACCTGCAGCCCGCCGGGAGGTGGCTGCCCGTGTAGCTGCTCCAGTAGCGGCAGAGAACCGGCCACAGCAACGAGCCATTGCTCAACCCGAGCCACAGCATGAGATTCCGGACAACTTTGAGGAGATTCGGGATCAGGTGCAAGATGGATTCGACAGCGTCATGCTCGAGCTCATGCCGCATGGGACAAAGCCGTTCAAAATCCACCTTCGAGGTGGTAAATGGACGCAACGAAATAAGGGGGCAGCTGCTGACTACGTCAGGATGACAGTGCAGGACGTGAAGATGGCAGCTGTGCTGCACAACCTTGGCCTCTTCAAGGAAGGGGTGAAGTCGAGGGACTTTAGTATCTCTATCCACGGCGGTGAGCGTGAAGCGGCTGTCGCAGCTGCACATGTTGCGCGAGCGTTCAAGTTTTTTGCCCGGAATGGTGCCACGACAACTACTCTCGGGAGCGAAGACGAAGCCACGCCACACACTTTGATGGCCCGCGAGGAGTGGCGTGTGGATTTAAAAACTGACGTGGATGGTGTAGTTGATGCTCTCAAGCTTCGTGGCGAGTATGTCACGAATAGGCTGCGAAAGGACTTCTTTGATCTTGTTCAAAGTATCGCCTATGCGCGACAATTTGTGGCGCCAACTGATAGCGACTTGCTCGCGATGGTGTAGGAGAAAACTTTTTGACAGATCAAGCATCTTCTTGTGGCTTCGACTTGGATGGAGATGATTTGCTTGGTGGAGGTTGTGTTCTTGGTGGTGGCACTTCGTCGAGAGCGACTGGCTCTGCTCTGGGAGAGTCTAGTATGTTGAGGTGGATGCCTTGACATTGGAGCGGATTCTTGTTGTTGATTTAGTTGTGAAAGATGGGCAGCTCCTGCAATAGATTTCGGCGCGTCAGTCTGTCCAGTTGTTTTGCAAGATCCATCTCGCAGCCTTCTACAGATCGTTCCACATAGTCGAGAGTATTGCTATGCAACTATGGCGCCGAGAAAGAACAACCTTTCTGCGAAAAATGGCGGATGCGCCCCAGCGAAATCAGACAACAGTGCCAAGCCGTCTCCGTCGCAGTTGCCGCCTGCTCCACCTGGTGGCGAAGGCTCGAACCAAAAGCCACCTGCTGTCAAACCAGCTGCTATCCCTCCGCCGCCTGCTGGTGGTGGTAGCAACACTTCTACTTCTGGGATGGTGCGTGATAAAGTGCCTGTGGGTGGACAGCCTGCTAGCTCCCCTGGCGCGGGGTCGTCGTCTGCTCCACTCTTTGGCTTAGGTGGCGGACAAGGTCTCGGTGGTGCTGATATTAAGGATATTCGGCTGCAGCAGCCCGGCTCTGGTCCAGGGTCCCTCCTTCCGTCAGGGCCGCCACCGAAAGCAAGCGGAAGTGGTGTGTTAAGGTTCAGGATCAAAAAGTAGACCTTCACGCTTCAAAATCGATGCACACATCACTGCACACATCACTGCACACTTCACTGCACACTTCGCTGCACTCTTTTTTTTTCAAGTAGGATTTTTTTGTGTGCAGTGAAGTGTGCAGTAAAGTGTGCAGTAAAGTGTGCAGTGATTTTCTAGTGGTAATTAATTATTTTGGGAAAATGTGTGCAGTAAAGTGTGCAGTAAAGTGTGCAGTAAAAGTGTGCAGTAAATGTGTGCAGTAAAAGTGTGCAGTAAAAGGGTGCAGTAGCAGCGCACTAAAAAAGTGCGCAATACAATCGAATAGACATTATGCTGCTGTAGCTAGCTCGTCTAGAACTGACTGGTCTCGTTTTCTTAGGTCGCTAAAGTAAGCTGAATATCTCCCACGGGTAGCCCCCACCACATCTGCCTTCATAATTCCAGAAGCGTGCGTTCACGAGTCCGGAAAAGGTGCAGGGAGCACTCGACGCAGCTGCTGGCGCCAAGAAGATGCGACAGGATCTCCTCTTCGAGCGTAACAACCCGGTCAAAATCATGGCACAAGTGGAGAAGCGCATTAGCGACCATTCGCGTCGAAATGGATGGGCAATGGATCCCTACCTATTCAGCCAGCGGCACCATGTTTTCGGCATGAAGGAGGAAGCCAACATGCAACAAGGTGAGGGCGTGGAGTTTCGTAACGCGCTAGACTACCTGGCGTCTATCTTCATGAAGGTCGCAGATGAACGTGAAAACAAGGAGAAGGCACTAGACCGCATCTATCTGAAGAAGTGCCACTATGATGATGTTTATGGGAAGCTCTGCACCGTCCGCGCCTCGAAACAGCAGCAGAAAGTTCGGGAAGTGCTACGGAAGTTGTTGGACACCAAGCACCCAACCAAGGCAGCGAAGCTATCTGCCATTGGTTCGATGTTGTACCGCCATGCAGAACGTGTCCGAGTACGTGGCTTCAAGGAACGTCCTTTCGACGCGGATATGGTGGGGGCGTCTGTTCCTGCAGGAGCTCCTGGCGGCTCCGCTTCGGGCACATCTTCGAGTGCAAACATCTCCTCTTCTTCTGGTGTAGTGCCGCATATGGTGGGCCAGGCTGGATATCAAGTACTAGCTGGAGGTGGTCCGATGATCGGTGGCGCAGCTGCACTACCTGCCGTGGGCAATAATTGGGAGAGCCTTGCGCAGCTCTCTGCGACGTTGGATGTTAAAGCTCTGCTTGACGGAAACATCCAGAGCCAGATTAAAGCTGCAGCTTGCGCTGCGCAGAAAAACGCACAGAAGCAGCATGATTCTATGGCGGAGTCGCTTGGCGTCACTGGTTCGGATGAAGAACTGCGCTGGCCTTTGCTTGAAGTAGAAGTTCAGGCAATTTTGGCTATTCTTCCGAGAAACAAGATGCCGGACATGTCTCTGCTTGGATCGATCGCAAATACCTATCAAGCAGCGAAAGAGGCGAGTACCCACGCCCATCAGCCAGATGGTAATGCATTTTCGTGGTTTCTTGTTCGTTATTATTTACTCTCTTACTTTTTTCGTTGGGTTTATGCGTCTTGGTCTTGCAATAGTATGCTTCTCATCTTTGTGTGTGCTGTTTTCTAGAATCTTACTTCTATGCTAGTTCTTCCCCGCAGTTATATGGTGATCAATACCAACTCGCAGTTCCTTCGCCGTACAACACACTTCGCATCTGGGTGAACGGTGCGATTGCTCGCCAATTTCCCAAGTCCAAGATGAAAGCGACGCCGTTTTTTGATTCGTATTGGATCTATTTTCATTTGTTTCGGATATTGTCGCATGGTCTATGTTGTCTGTGTTATGTCTCCCCTGCTGCTTACCAATCCATCTATGCTTCTCCATCTGATGACCTTACTGTCGCCCCTTGTTAGTCTGAATATCTTACCCTTTTCACAGGTGGAAGGCGGTGCTAGAGGTAACAGCGCCCCTGACGGTAAAAGCCAAAGAGACTGTTGACTGGGTTCGCAGTTTGAAGACGGATGACGAAGGAAGTATCATTTGGCCGGTGAACTTAGCAGCGCAAGCAGACCCTCACGTTAGCATTGGGAACCCAGGCCGGATGTCTCTCATGGAGCACCGTGTACGCCTGCAGAGTGCTGAAGTCCCCATATTTGCTGAGTGGTTGCAGATCGTTGATTCGCATATTCAAAACAGCGAGTGGGAGGACGACGTTGCGCGCGTACTTCTTGTTATTTCATTTGTGATTCTTGTGTGATAGCTGCAGACTTCTTCTCCAGGTGCTACGTGGTGCTTTTTGATATTTTCTATCTTTTATCATCATCTGACACACCACCCGCGCCAGGCCGTCGAGGAGCTGCAGATGCCCTCGATCTTGGGCAATCCGGACTACGCTCTGTTCTCGCAGAATATTCAGATGGCCCGCGCCAAGGTGCCAGCCGATGTTCCGCGTTTTTTTCGGGTTTTTTGTGGGTCTTTGAACGTGGCGTTCACACTGCGCATCACAGGACGAGACATTGCGGACGCCCTTTTACAGCAAGCAGCCTTGGCGGAGCCGAGTGGCGCAGTCGCTGCCAATCTGAAGACGCACGTTCCTCTTTGGGAGACGTATTTGCAGGCCCGCCAGCAGGCTCTGCTGAACTTGAAGAAGATGGTCAAAGCGACGCACACTCTGTACTTCTTATTTTCACTTTTTTCAACGTTGTTATTCGTGCTTTCGTATCTTCCGCTACATGTTGCTTGCTTGTCACTCATTTGGTGAGACCTTCACATCTAGGCACTATGCTGGGCAGTAGTTTCGCACGGAGATGCATCGTAGAGAAGTGCTATAGTTCGTCTGTGAGCGTGAGCGGGAGTGTCAGTAGGTCGCTGCATCAATCCACATCAGCTTTCATCTTTTTTCGAACACCGTCGCAGGTTTCACGTCCTCAACGACATGAAGGAGCTGCAGTCTGAAGCCCTCGCGTATGATATCCAGCTCCTAGAGGAACATGCTGAGTCGGTCAATGCCCGCCATGATGCTGCACTTGCGAAAGCAGCGACAGGTGACTTTGAGGCCTTGAAGGCCGTCGTCTGGCAATCGGGTGGTCTGCATGATTCGGCTCGTGACATGTTGATGAAGTTGAAGGCTGGCAATTATGACGGAAATGAGGCTCGTCGCTGGTGGGTTGGTCCACCGAGCCGTCCGAGAGAGTACATGGCTTTGCTTGCCACTAGCACTGGCGTCTCAGAAGAAGACGGCACGGCCAAGAGACTGTTGGCTCGAATTGGAGAGCTCTTAGCGTCGCGCGAGCAAGACAGTACATCTTTATATGATATCTGTGCTCCTCAGTCGCGTGAAAAAAGTACTGCTTTCGTTCTCGGTCGTGTCTGGGCTTCTGTTCATATCTTCGTCCACATCCTCTGAAACTCATCCTTGCTACAGGTATCCCGATGCTGCAGCTGTTTTTCATGAAATTGAAGGTGGTTCCGTTTCTATTTCCGGCCGAGGATCACGATCAGTATGTCGCGTATGTTGGTCGCTTTGCAGCGTGGAAGGCTGAGATTGGATATCGTGACTGATCGGGTTGTGCTGTTAATCAGCAGCGCGGCTTTGTCGTTGAAGTGGATTCTTTTTTGCAGAGTGTGATGATTTGGATACTATCGACCTGGGCTTGATTCACCTGGCGACAGTCGTGATGTGGCGTGTTGTCTCTGCATTTTTCCACAAGAAGCAGCTGCATGCTGATGAGATTTTTTGAAACTACAAGTGGACACTTTCGAGCATGTTGAAGTTAGTCGTTGTCTCCATATTTCAGAAATTTGTCGTGATCGTATTGCATTCATGTCGAACCGCACGAGACAGAAAGTCTTCCTTTCAGAATTAGAGCAGTTGATGACGGACTTGATGAGGAATGTGGTGTAGGAGCTCTGACGAAGGATCAGGAGCGTGTTCAGCGTGATCGATTAGCATGCTCGAGAAACTCAGGGAGGATAGCCGATCTGGATTCTTACTGGCGCGCAGGCGGAGACCTGAGCCAGCAGCAGTCGCTTCGGCCCTCTTGGAAAATATGGAACTCCTTTGGCCAAAGGGGTTCCTTATTTTCCTTGCCTGAGGCTGAGAGGTGCCTCTCTAGGGGCGCTTCTTGGAGGGCCTTGCTCCATAAGGCCAAAACTTGGGACGCCTGGTCCCTAGTTTTGGCCTGATGGAACAAGTGCTCCTTGGCGCGCCTCTTGGGCTTGTTCCATAGATAAGGCCAAAACTCGGGGCACCTGGTCCCTCATTTTGGCCTTTTGGAACAAGCGCCGCCTGGCGCGCCTCTTGAGGCCTCTTGTTCCATAAGGCCAAAATTAGGGACGCCTGGCCCCGAATTTTGGCCTTGTGGAACAAGTGCTCCGTTGCGCGCCTCTTGGGCTTGTTCCATAAGGCCAAAACTCGGGGGACTTGGTCCCTGATTTTGGCCTTTTGGAACAAGCGCCGCCTGGTGCGCCTCTTGAAGTCTCTTGCTCCGTAGGGCCAAAATTAGGGACGCGTGGCCCCTAATTTTGGCCTTATGGAGCGAGCGCCTCTGGGAGGGTCTTGCCCCATAGGGCCAAAATTAGGAACGCCCGGCCCCTAGTTTTGGCCTTATGCAGCAGGCGCCTCCCTAAGCGCCTCGCAAAATAAAGCTGGGGCTCCGCCGTCCTCGCGTAGAAATATGGAACCCCCTCGGCTGGCCAAAGGGGTTCCTTAATTTCCTCGTCGCGGCGAGACACTGCCTGGGCAAAATGAGGAACCCTCTTGGCCGGCCAACGGGGTCACCTGTTTTCCTCAGAGTCCCCGGCGCCATGTTTTCAGTTTTTCCGGTGTATTCTCCTGCATTTGTGTGCATCGAAGTCGCCAGGCGGTGCGCCGCATGAGGGCAGAGCCTCACACCAAACACCTCACAGAGGAGACGACAAAGCGAGCAGCTGTAGGCGCGAGCTGGGCAGAGACTCACACCGAACGCCTCGCAGAAGAGACGACAAAGCAGCCAGCTGTAGGCACGAGCCGGGCAGAGCCTCACACCAAACACC